CCACCCGCAAATAATCAGAATGCATTTTTTATTACCCGACCCGTGGATATAGGAAAAGCTAAATATGTTTGCTGCGTAAATCAGACGGACTTACTGAAAATGCAAATTAATTCTCTGCCAGCAGGAGGTGCTTTAAAACGGGAGAAACCGAGTTTTCCCCGGTAACGGCTGTACACAAAACAGCGCTGAGCTCACAAACGCTGCTTTATCAGGCATATAACATGCAAGATGAAATGAAAATGACACCGAATTTTTTCCTTCAGAGATAGTGATATAAAAACACCCACGCCATGTTTTGATTTTTAAACGTGCAGTATGTGCGCATGTTTATTCAACCAAGCCTTTTGGAAAATCGGTCAGTTTTGATATTGTGGCGAGCGCCACAAATAAATAAATGTATGGGAAACGCATCCCACAGCACAACCACCTGAGCCTTCAGTCTATTCATCACCTTAACTTTAACTGTGTTTGTAGCCGGCACCATAGCCAGACTGATAAACAAACACAGACCAGAAGTTAACTTCAGGCCAGGTGCGTGCGCCCTTTGAAACGTCTATATAAAGCTTGAAGCATCAGAATCGGCATCGGTATCGGCCGATCACCATGACAAGAAATCGGTACTCTGTATCGGCTGCAAAAATCCTGATCGGAGCATCCCTAATGATTACAAATGTGATACTGATATTTTACAACAGCTCAAAAAAACAAGTTAATTAAGAGACTTGTGTTTTAGACACCATATTTCCTGTTTTTGTTCTATTTCGCCAACAAAAACAATTCCAAACAAAGCTGCAATATGACGATGTTTTGTTCCTGAACGAATCAACCGTTTAAATGATTCAGTTCAGTCGCAATGACTCACTTATTAACAGTGACTTACTGCCACCTTCTGGCGGTTTTAATTTCACATTTAAAGTATCTTTTCATTTTTTAAATAATTTCAAATATCAGTATTCAACTTTTTATGTTTAATATATCAAAACATTATTTATGCATTTGTAACTGCAGGTTAAATGCATTCATGTCTTGTATTAAACAAAATACATAGCTTCTGTGTGCATTGCAAAGATGAATTTTGTTGATACTGATTTAATTTGCCTGGTAACAGCCCAAATGCCAAATGTCTCTAACTCACTGATTAAATGTAAGCATTTGACTCAAAAGATGATGGATAAAAATGGCTTTATAAAGGTAAAAATGCCCATAAAATGTAAAAATCGATTTAAACTTATTGGAAAAGATTAATTTCCATCACTGCTATGAACTGATCACCACACAGAATATGAAGAATATCAAAAACTTTAGGAGTCAAGCTGTCCACGCTCCTGCACACACACTCAGCAAAATATTGTCTAATTTGTCTAATTAATAAAATCCCAGGAAATATCGAGATATTATTTTTTGTCACTAATACTGACTTGTCTTTCGTGTCTTTCGCGTGGAGGGTCTGCTGGATCTGTTGTCTGTGAGTGGGCCGGAGCAGCTGGAGGCTTTGGGTCTGGAGCGGCTGAAGAAAGAGCTGATGGACCGAGGGATGAAGTGTGGAGGAACGCTGCAGGAACGGGCTGCACGTCTGTTTTCCGTCAAAGGACTGAGCCCAGATCAGATTCACCCTGCGCTCTTGGCCAAACCCACCAAGGGCAAGAAGAAATAGCTTGCGTATCTTAAGCCACAGTGTTTTTAACCCATTTTTGCTTTGCTTGTGTTTGGCATGTGTGTAGTTATGTTTAAAGTGTTGTTTGTAAAAATCTAACACCTAATTTAGAAAAATCCCCAGTTTGGGACAATAATGAGTGCTAGATTTTTTATTTTTTTATTATAATGACATTACTGGTCAGATACAGATAACAATTTGGATTGAACTTTAAAGTTGAACTTTAGTCAACAATATATGGCATTTTATTATTATTATAATTTTTTTTTTTTTGTCTTTTTGTCTGTTAGAAAAACATGCCATGTAACAAAAGGGGAAACTCGGGTTAACTTTTTTGTAATC